CGGTCCCCTGGGACGGCCCTCACGACTGGACACCCTCCAGCCACTCATCCCATCACCGGGCACGTCACAGGCTTAGGATTAGGGCATTTTTTATAGAGGTTTGCATCCTCGCGGCCCCTACTAGGCAGCGGCCCCCGCCCCCCACCAAGTGGGGATTACGGTATGGGACAACCCTTGGGACTAGACTCCCTCCAGCCATTCATCCCATCGTCAGGTGTCAAAAACTTGGGATTGGGGCATTTTTTATAGAGGTTCGCATCCTCACGGCCCCTGCTAGGCAGCAGCCCCCGTCCCCTACTCGGTAGGGATTGCGGTGTGCTTCTTCGAAGCCACGCCGGTAAACCGGTACCCCCCTTTGGGGGGCCTTCCCCTGTAGCCGCCAAGAGGCAGCCGGGGACATGGCAACCAGCGACCGGAAGGGAGTGCCCTCCGGTTCACTTCTCATCCACGTGGGGTCTACCATTACTGACAGACCCACACGTCCGACCACGGTGTGGCCACGCCGGCGTACCGGTACCCTCCTCTGGAGGGCCTTCCCCTTTAGCAGCCAAAGAGCTGCCGGGGACATGGCCTAGCATCCAAGAGGGCTCCAGAAGGGAGCCCTCTCCCGCTTCACACACACTTTGTCCAGCAAAGGTGGGAAACGGGAACACGGTGTGCAGTCTTCTTTGTTCACGGCACCCCTGTGCAGACAACGCTGCTCCACGGTATCGGGGTGCACGCTTAAGCCCCACCGCCGCGACAAGGCGAGACCACGTTCGGTGGGGGGTGGGCGAGCCTGAGAGGATTTGCTAACACTTTTCCTAGCAAGAGCAGTGCTTCGCTGAATTTACCACCGGATCGGGGTCTCAACCCACTGAGAAGATCCGGTGAGGGACTCAACGAGTTGTGTCTGTGGGTATGGTTTTTATTACGCTGCCACGAAAAATGATCTAAATCAACAGCTATTTTTGATTAATTTCTGTATTGACGTTGTCCATATAAAATAGACTAGTAGTTTGTTTTCTTCTTCTGTGAATTTGCTCTCTATCAATTGGTGTCAATTAGTTACTGGAGCCCATAAACAGATCCCAATGTCATAACGCCTACGCCACCCATCAAGCCGGAAGGCTTTGCAGCAGATATATTCAGGATAATAGTACTTGCCCGTACGGTCTTATAGCCCAAGATCCCAGGGCCCCCAGACGTCACGTATTTTCTGACGAACGAAATGTGGCCGATTTCGTAGTGTTAGTATGTACTAAGAACGCATGCCTACCTGCTACCTTACTTAGACGGCCAATTTTCAGGTATCAGGTACCTGTGTAATCGGCCACATTTCATTCGTCAGAAAATACGTGACGTCTGGGGGCCCTGGGATCTTACTCTATTATAATTATACCACTAAATACTTTTTTTCGACTTTGAATTCTATTAGACAATGTACTTCCGTCATCGCGTAATTCGACTGTAATTACGTGTTAAGCACATATTTTCATAAATTACTTAGTATATGCGGGATTTTGACAAATGCATAGTCGGTACAAGTAGGTACACCGGACGACTAATCCTCTTGGTCATCATGACTTCGATCGGCCCCAGATATTCAAATAGATTAAGTGGGTAGTATTGTATTTTAATTAGTGTGATACAAACGACTTTTTGGCGGGAACGCGGGGAGTGAAGTTGTGTTTTTTTTTTTTGTCTATTTAGTGTTTCTTCAGGTTTAAATGGTGGTTTATTAACTGTTTAATATCTGTGAAAGTGCACAAATGTGGGAAAATTAAACAAAGCCGTTGGACGTAACTTCTCGGGATCCTCCAAAAAGTCCACTGAAAAATCTCAGTAAATGACTACCATTTTACTAAGATTATATTCATCCCATATCATTTCATCTCATCTTATTTCATTTAATTACAACCCACTTGATTAATGTCTCAAATTAATCGTTTCATTTCATTTCACTCCATATTATCATTTTTCATAAAAATAAGAATATGTATAAATAAAAATAAGACATGACTTAAAGGTCTTAGTTACCAGGTCATAAAATACCTAAAAAAAAAAAGTGTGATACAAACAAACACACCTACCGCAACGCCTATCAACAATATAACACATATATTATGCACGTTACGTTTTAGCATATATTATTATGTTATGCTTTTTTTGTTTTTTAATACAAAATCTATTTTCCGTAAATACTGTTTAAGAATGAAGTCACTTCTGAAATAAATTACCATATTTGAATTACTTTGTACGCGTTTTACATAGTTAGGTTGCCGAAAAATACTATTTTTTGTGTTTCAAAAAATAACTGATGTAGAAACATTATTAATTACTCAAACTAATTTACTGGTGGTAAATTTACTGGTGGTAGGACCTCTTGTGAGTCCGCACGGGTAGGTACCACCACCCTGCCTATTTCTGCCGTGAAGCAGTAATGCGTTTCGGTTTGAAGGGTGGGGCAGCCGTTGTAACTATAATTGAGACCTTAGAACTTATATCTCAAGGTGGGTGGCGCATTTACGTTGTAGATGTCTATGGGCTCCAGTAACCACTTAATACCAGATGGGCTGTGAGCTCGTCCACTCATCTAAGCAATAAAAAAAAAATACCGAAATCAACATTACGAATAGATACGCTTTAACTTTGAATACGCAGACTTAAATAAACAAAAAAATACATATGATCTGTAATAGTTATATTATTATCGCTGTTTTTTTTAAAATATTTTTATGAGAATTAGGCCTTTTTAAAGTATAACGAATGATCGTTTTCTTCGCCCTCTGTTTATCCACCGAATTTTTTTTATGACGAAACAGTAGAACTAGAAACAAATAGACATGGTAATATGTATTCTTTTTTAATTTATTTATCAAAACTTAAAATAGGCTCCTTTTGGATGGGAATGTTTCTTTTATTGGTTGATTTCAAGATTTTGAATCTGATATATTTCAATTCTAGTTGCATTTTATCTATCGTACTATACTCGGAAACGTTGAAGGCTTTAAGATAGTTGATATCAATAGAGCTTTAAAAGCCTATTCTTGACAGAGAAACCACTAAACTTTAATCTTAATTAACCTTCGTGACTGACTTCGTGAATTTGTCGGTTCGCGTGATATGCTCTGCCATAGGTATGATTTCAGAGGGGCCCCACGTTTTTATTTTAGTCTAATATGCCTAAAAGCTATTCTGCCTAGTACTAAAATATTTCTGAACTAGAAGGTCAAAATACCTACTTGTTATAGTGTGGGCTGCATAGTTTACCTACCAAGCAAACCCTGGTGTTAGTGTTCTTTCATGAACTGCCTTTCGGCCGCTGACATGGTTCATGTTATGACAACCACTACCATCAGAGATATTAATGACCGAGATGACCTACGTAGGTTGATAGGTAAGTAACTATTTATTTATTTTGTAGTTTTCAGTGCACATAAAATAAAACCGTTTAACTTAAAAGTTTTTTTACCGATTTTTATTTTCTTGTTTTTAGTATTTAGTGAAATTGTCTACCGAATATTCCTCATTCTATTTAATTCATTCAGTGCATCATTATTACATGGTTTCTTACCTGATAATTTAGTACAATCTAATTCCTCAATACATAGATAGCCTTTCCAGAGACTTGACTCGACTTACAGCCACGTATGCTTGTCCTTCCTCAAACAATTTTGAGCCTAAATATACTACTGCATGGTCGACGGTGCTGCCCTGCATTTTATGGACGGTGGATGCCCATGACAAAACTAATNAACTAATTTACTGGTGGTAAATTTACTGGTGGTAGGACCTCTTGTGAGTCCGCACGGGTAGGTACCACCACCCTGCCTATTTCTGCCGTGAAGCAGTAATGCGTTTCGGTTTGAAGGGTGGGGCAGCCGTTGTAACTATAATTGAGACCTTAGAACTTATATCTCAAGGTGGGTGGCGCATTTACGTTGTAGATGTCTATGGGCTCCAGTAACCACTTAATACCAGATGGGCTGTGAGCTCGTCCACTCATCTAAGCAATAAAAAAAAAATACCGAAATCAACATTACGAATAGATACGCTTTAACTTTGAATACGCAGACTTAAATAAACAAAAAAATACATATGATCTGTAATAGTTATATTATTATCGCTGTTTTTTTTAAAATATTTTTATGAGAATTAGGCCTTTTTAAAGTATAACGAATGATCGTTTTCTTCGCCCTCTGTTTATCCACCGAATTTTTTTTATGACGAAACAGTAGAACTAGAAACAAATAGACATGGTAATATGTATTCTTTTTTAATTTATTTATCAAAACTTAAAATAGGCTCCTTTTGGATGGGAATGTTTCTTTTATTGGTTGATTTCAAGATTTTGAATCTGATATATTTCAATTCTAGTTGCATTTTATCTATCGTACTATACTCGGAAACGTTGAAGGCTTTAAGATAGTTGATATCAATAGAGCTTTAAAAGCCTATTCTTGACAGAGAAACCACTAAACTTTAATCTTAATTAACCTTCGTGACTGACTTCGTGAATTTGTCGGTTCGCGTGATATGCTCTGCCATAGGTATGATTTCAGAGGGGCCCCACGTTTTTATTTTAGTCTAATATGCCTAAAAGCTATTCTGCCTAGTACTAAAATATTTCTGAACTAGAAGGTCAAAATACCTACTTGTTATAGTGTGGGCTGCATAGTTTACCTACCAAGCAAACCCTGGTGTTAGTGTTCTTTCATGAACTGCCTTTCGGCCGCTGACATGGTTCATGTTATGACAACCACTACCATCAGAGATATTAATGACCGAGATGACCTACGTAGGTTGATAGGTAAGTAACTATTTATTTATTTTGTAGTTTTCAGTGCACATAAAATAAAACCGTTTAACTTAAAAGTTTTTTTACCGATTTTTATTTTCTTGTTTTTAGTATTTAGTGAAATTGTCTACCGAATATTCCTCATTCTATTTAATTCATTCAGTGCATCATTATTACATGGTTTCTTACCTGATAATTTAGTACAATCTAATTCCTCAATACATAGATAGCCTTTCCAGAGACTTGACTCGACTTACAGCCACGTATGCTTGTCCTTCCTCAAACAATTTTGAGCCTAAATATACTACTGCATGGTCGACGGTGCTGCCCTGCATTTTATGGACGGTGGATGCCCATGACAAAACTAATGGCAACATCCTTCTTTCAGCCGTACCATAATTGAATTTTGCTGGAAACTGTATGGCTTTAGGGTAAATAACGTGCATGCCGTTACATTGCACGCCGGCAAATCCCGAAGTGAAAACGCTGTGGTCACCTT